ACCTGTGCATTTCGTTTTTCTTGCCTAAATGTAGAACCTTATTCTTTTCACCATTGAATTTCATATTATAGGATAGTGCACAATGTTCAAGTTTGTCAAGATCCTTCTGTATTAAGCCTGTCTTCGGTAGTATTGGCTATTCCTGCCAGCTTGGTGTCATCTGCAAATTTGATGAGTTCCCCATTTATTCCCTCATCCAAATCACTGATGAAGATGTTGAAGAGTACTGGGCCTAAAACAGAGCCTTGGGTACTCCACTGCATACTTCCCTTCATGTACATGCAGTTCCATTGAGGACTACATGTTGAGTGTGGTTGGTCAGCCAGTTATGAATCCATCTGGTGGTGATGCTCTCTAACCCACATTTTTCTACTTTATCTAGTAGTAGGTTATGGTCTACCTCATCAAATGTCCTGCTGAAATCCACTAATTTTGTCACTTTGTCAAAAAATGCAATAAGATTAGTCTGGCATGATCTGTTTTTGACAAACCCATGTTGGTTTTTGGCTATTTAATTTATATCTTTCATGACATATTCTTTTTAGTATGCATCAGTTATGCACAATAAAAGCAACTCTCCTTTCTCATCTGCCATCAACAGATGTCTTGGGAGATGATTGAAAATTCCTTGGTCACAATTCTATACATCTAGAGGGAATCCATGGGGAATGCCTGTCATATTGTAGGATGAATAGCTGAAGATACATACATAAAGACATACAATCATGTCTTTATTAAATATCAAAATAATCAATTACAGATTTTCCAGATCAGTTAGTTTCCCTGGAATGGATTGCTTATAAATTGAGGTGTTTTTTTCATATTTATAGCAGTTTTGGTGTGTAGTTTAATTCCCACATTTGGACTATTTTGGTCATCTAACTTGACTTCAATTGTTTGGGTATCTTTCTTTAATGATCCAAAGCACTTACATTGGCCATTTCATTTGGAAATGTTTTCTGTATCAAAGCTCTATAAAATACTGGGGAGTGGGGTCTCTTTGATCTATTTGTTATCATCAAAATATGTCCTGTTCAGAGGCATGCTCTCCATCCAGGAGGGAAGTTATTCGATTTCCTGATCACTTTGACAACAGACCAACTCCAAAGTTGAGGTGACCTTCAAGTTGACCTTGGAAAGTGAGGATGGCAGTCCACCATCATGTCCATTCCAAGCTCTCTAGCCTTTGACCTACATTTTGACCTTTTCTCCTTGATCCTCTACTTCTTAATGGCTCTGGAGGATACCCAAAACTTGCACACCCATGGATATTATGGAAGGTCTCCTTCATCCAATTATTATTTTCAAAACTACTGATTTAGGGGTGTTTTTTTAAAAAAAAAACTTTTCCCCCAATCCCGTTTCCACTGGTGCCCCACGGATCAACGCAGCTCCTGTTCTTTAGTTCTTTACACCCCGACTAAGTTACTGAAAGCGAGATGCGCGCCATCATCGCATCCCAGGCGGTGGAGTATAGCTTTCGCCGCCCCCACTCAAGGCATCCTAGACTGCTGCGGAACTTAATAAAACGGTCCTTCTATGGATTCGATGGGAAAGGTTGTCTTTGCACTTCGCTCCCTCCCGTTCCTCTTTTGGGTAGCGGGGAGAGGGAGGGGGACAAGTAACACGCGGAACAATTAAGTCGCAACTCCCAAAAGAGGACCCGGCGAGGAGAGAGAGAGAGAGAGAGGTAGAGTCCGGAGCGCACGCAAAACCACGCGGCGGAGTGCTGCGGAACCAGAGTGGGCGGACGGGTGGGCGAGGCGACGCGTCTGTTCGTCCGGCCGCAAGCGCTCCGTGCGGGGGGCGGGTGGGCTTGAGCCCCGTGGTAAAAGCGCGCGGCTGCAGACGGGCAGCGCCGGCTCGACGACCGCATGTCCCTCTGGCTGCGGGAGGCTGCCCGCGCCAAGGAAGGTCGCCGCTAGTGCCGAGAAGCTGGGACGGGATGCAGCTCTCGCTGCTGCTGCTCTTCTCGACCTGCTGGTGGACGTTGGGGCCGGTGAGTAGGGAATCCCTGGCCGGCGAGCCTCGCCTGGTCCTGACTCGGAAGAGTCTGAGCTCCGGAGCATGTGCAGAGAGCTCCTTTCCTGCGGCTTCTGCGAGAAAAGGGCGCGTTGGCTTCTATTCCGCGACCCTTTCAGCAGTGCCTCAGGGATGGAGAGGGTCGCCTCGGATCTTGCCTTCTGCTCTTCTTTCGGAAGGAAACCTATAGGGGCAGAAGGAGGAAAACGCGTTCACTTTGGCTCCTATTTGTCCTCCGGTTGTGGGGCTAATTCTGCGGCCTGGGTTGCCTCCCCTTAATGTGGGTATGAATGTATGCCCCCTTCGCATCCACTTAGTATGTGATACATGCACACACACATCGAATATTTCTTGCTATTAATAATTAATGCTAATAGTTCTCCACTTTTTAGAATTGCTGTTTATTCTTAGATCCCTCCCATTTTTTTTAAAAAAAGGAGCAAACGAGTCTCCTCGGGGTGTGCTGGATTACAATTCCCATTATTCCCTTCTATTTCAGGTTGGGGATGATGCCTGACCAGGCCCAACCGCAGAGTCCCTGTTGAGGGTTTGGTTATACTAGTGGGCTACGCTTAAATTTGAGCACAGGATTAAAAGCCAGCTAAGTTTGAATCTCTTATCAGGCTGGTGAATTGGGCTAAAATGAACTTAGTAAAGAATTGCTTTAAGGTACAACTGGGCTCCTGCAGTTCCAGTATCTATTGTAACTCCCTTAAGAAAAGCTGATTCGATTTTAATTGATGCCAGTGAAATTGCTATAAACAACAGGATGCCCCATTTCTTTTTTAAATCCCACACATGCACCAGCTTTCAGGATCGTTTAAAGTCCACGGATTTCTCCACAAATGTTTTGTAGTCAAAAATATAACTGTGGAAGAAAGGCAAGAGGGTGGAGTTTTTCACAGGCTGTTCTTTGTTTATAGTTGGAGTGGAAATTCTGTACTACTTTTAAGGCAGAAATTCTATCCATTTTAATGGTCAACTTTATTATTATTATTATTTTGTGTATGTGTGTAGCACTGTAAATTTTGGTGCATTTATGGCATGAAGTTTGTGGGGACTAATGAACTTTAAAACAGGGCTGCAGCCATGTGATTTTTGCCAAGCATTTACAAAACGCAAAATGTCAAGGAAAAGAAGACAAGCTACGGATAAAAAATGTGTGTTTTCTGGATAGATCAATTGGATTTTCTTTTTCCATTGTTTGTTACCTGTTTTAATTAACCAAAGCAGGCTTAAGTAGAGTTTGTACCTGCAGCAGAATGAATGACTAGGATTCATTGACCTAATCTTGTATATGGAATGGATGATAAAAAATGCAAAGGTCATCCTTGCCATTAACCGGAATGAAGACATTTCCAAATAGTTAATAACTTTTATAATAATTTATTAGAAGGGGGAGGAAGCTTATAAGATTTTGGGGCTCAGCTTCAGCCTCTCTATCAAGATTTTGAGAATTATGAAGCAGCAATCAAATGTCTTTGGACAGTCCTGTTTTATGTCCTGCCCCCCCCCCCCTTTTATAATCCTCCTTGAAAGCAGAAAAACAAATGCAATGAAAATGTTGTCTTGGTATAGTTCTCTGATTGCAAGGAGATAGTATTTCCTGCCATTTGGTTTTTATCATGATAACTTCATTCTATGATATTAATTGTCCTAAACTCAGAGTGATTATGAGGTGACTTAAGAAAAATTACATTAGATCAATATCGTTAAATTTTATACAAACATGTTGGCTGTTGTGTATTTCCTTATTTGTGTAGTGAATGATAAATACATTCCAGAGCTTTTAGTTTTGCTTACTAACCTCCTATAAAGCTGAAGTCTCTTTTGAGTCAAACTTAATTTGATGACTTTATAGAAAGGTTCTTCTAGTTTTATGAATTGCAGTATGCAATGGCTTACTATTGTCTTCTTGAACTTCCAAGATGATTTTTTAAAAAACTTCCCACTCTAACTCCAGCCTTAACATTTTTTTGATAGTCTCCCATCCAACCACCAACCTGACCCAACCTGGTTTAACTTTTTGATATAACCAGGCTTGGTTAAATAATCTAATAGGTGTTATTGCACCTAAAACAAAGAAACAAAAAAAAAAGCTCACAGCATTTCTGAAACAGAATTATTTTTAAAAAAAGAGAATGATGCAAATATAGTTCAATTGCTTACTACAATTGCTTCATTAGATTTTGCGGTGAAGCTAATATTTTTAAAAATGTTTTTCAATTATCACATATGGTACTTAGATATGTTTTCATATTCAAGCAAGGAGCTACTTGATAGTTATTTTATAAACTGATAACAATTGTTGTTAATCTCGGTAAATTGATAATTTGGTGTTTGAAATAGTATATTGAGATGTGTCTGAGCTCTGTGAACAAGTTGATGAGATGCTGATTATTTAAAGGAATAGTTGTGTTATGTGGATATGTAAGAGGTATACTTTTTTTAATGGTTACGTGTGTGAAGTACAACTTCAAAAAAGTTTAACTGAAGTTTAGAGCTTAGTCATCTTAATAAAACACTAATAAATCCAGAACATCTCTGGATTTTATTCAGTAATAAATATATATATATATATATATAGAATCCAAACAAATTGGGCAATACACAGTTGCTTCTCTCTTATTGAAGAAGAGGAAGAAGCAGAAAAAATGTATCCTTGTTGGAAAGCCAACATTGTTCTTAAATGATTTTCTAAGATACCTGAAGTTTCAGCAGAGAAATGAGGAAAAATATTGTTTAAAAACTCAGCAAAGTTTCACTTTTGCAAAAAGAAGCCTCTATATTTTGCAGTTGGTTATGCTATAGTAAATCCAAAACTAAGTTGAATCATTTCTTAAGTGAACCTCAGTGTTTTCATTGCTATAACATTCTTCTGTAGACATCTAATTATTTTTAAAAAGGTTCTGCTATTTTTTAACCTTCACAATTTTTTTAAAATTCAGCTTTAAAGTTTCTCTGATTGATTGTTGACATTGCATTTTACAGAATTCCATATTTTAATTTTTTTTAAAGAAAAAGGACTCTTCTTTCCTAGTTAGGGTTTTTATGCTGGAAGGACATCTGTGCAGAAATTAACAAGACTTTAGTTTTGTAGGTGCAAAATCCTTAATCAGTCAATTAGATATCCTGAAGAAGTATCATATGCTAAACTTCACTTCTTTGGCATTAATTTTTTGTAGCTTATTGGGTTGTTACAATACTATTTTGTTAGTTTATGACTTGTTTGGACTAGCAAACAGAATAATTTGATAACTTAGGTTAAACTATGTATAAGTGAAGTTTTTGAATTTGGAATTATGTGGTTCAAATTTTGAACATAAAGGTTTAAAAAACCAAAGTCTTTGGCAAGGAGCTATAGTTCAGAAGTAATAAAGTTCTTGGATTGGGCCAACAAATCATGGCTGTAAACACAAAAAAAACAGTGAGTAAAGTCTGGTTCTTTGTTATCATCTGGTGCTCATCTAGGTTTTTACAGTAGCCCTGATTTAGAATAAGATAATTTTTACATTAAAATTTCAAACTTTCTTATCCATTACTCTCTTTAATGTAGTATTTACAATGTAGTAATACTCCCTATGTTTATACAGATGGACTCCCTATTTATGAGAGAATCAAGCCTTGACTTCCACACAGTTTCTTCTAAAACAAAGAATAGTGTAGAAATTATGAGAGTCTGAGGTATTGAGTTGCAGAAGGTTATGAAGATCAATCTAATTCATAGTCAGTAGATTAGCCAGTCATGCCATGTCTCATTTGAAATACAGCACATATCTAAAGCATTGAAAGGTAAGGCTTTAATGCTAGAATAGGGAAGAACATCAGTGGCATAGGGTGGGATGGTGGGGGCAGAAAAAAAACATTGCAAGAGATTCCCTTATATGCTTTTTCAGTTATTTTAAGTAGAAGTTAAAGTTGCTTTAGCTGCTTGCTTGCAACTGCTGTAGTCTGCAGTAATAATTGCAAAGCAACATTTAATCCTTTGAAACTTGAGGCAAAGATAGGAAGTGAGAAAATATGTGACTCTCAGGCATGACCAGAAACTAAAGTTCTAGATATTTTGTGGTGTACCCACAACATTCTACTACATAGGCTTAAATTGCAGCAGACAAAAAACATTGTCCCAATATCTGGTATAACTCAGCTTTTGTCTCTCTGCTGTTTCTTATTTATTGTTTAGGCCTTTAAGTCAGCGTTGACTTAATGTACTGCCTAGACAAGTCCCTGCAGTCTTCTTAGCAATGTTTTTGAAAGTGGCTTGCCATTGCTTTCTTCCCAGAGCTGAGAGAGAATGGCTGGCCCAGGGCCACCCAGATGACTTTGTGCCAGAACTGGAGCTCCCACTTTCTAATTTCTGTCTTGGTGCTTTAACCTGGACACCAGATTGACTTTCACCCAAAGCTGTCCCTCTGCTTACTGTTTAAAGAAACATCAGGTGTTTAAAGAAACAGTTCTCAGAAGGAATGCGTTAGGATTTGGCATTCCAGATGAGGTTATAATAGTTATAATATGGGGGTCTGCAGAAAGGGATTTTAAAGAAGTCAGACTGATGGCTGAGCCCACACAACCAGTCCTTTGCCCATTTTTATATGTCCTAAACAAACAAGCGCGCAAGCGCGCGCGCGCACACACACACACACACACACACACAGTGCTTTACATAAAGCTGTGAGACATTTTGGTTGACACTTCTAAACTGTGGGGTCCTGATTGTCACCTGATGTTTTATTTTCCAATTTAGGAAATTGGCAACAAATCGACATTCCTTAATCCAGTTATGCAAAAATTTAGATGCTGAAATTTGCATTTGGTAAAAGACAGTATGATATTCTTAACCAAACTATTGAATAAATCACAATGCATGGGTTTGTACAACCATGCCATTATTTGGCTTGTTTAATCTTGGCTATATAATGGTGGTTTAGAATGATAGGCAAAGCCAACCATTTCAGTTAAGAGACTGGCTTTTAACTGAAAATCAGATGTCAGTCATGTTTTCTTGGACATTGTTCCCCTGGAGCTTCCTTTTAGAATCAGGTATTGTTTTTATCTCACAATTAATGAATTCCCAATTGAAATTTAAGAAATCAAATTGATTTTGCTACCGCTATAGATAATCCTCATTTAGTAATTGTCCAAAGTTACAATCTCACTGAGGTAGCGTACGATAAGTCCTCACATTTAGAAGCATGGCAGTATCCCCATAGTCACATGATCAGATTTTGGACATTTGACAATCAGCATGTATTATTTACAACAGGGTTATGGCAGCATCCTGGGATGATGGAATCACCATTTGAAACTTTCCCCAGCTTCACATACAAAGTCAATGGGAGAAGCCTGCTTTACTTAATGACTACATGATTCAATTGAGAACTGCAGTGATTCTCTTAACAGCCATGGCAAAAAAAAAAGTTAGTATAATCCAGCTTTAACAGCCACCTTCCTTAGCAACGGGAATTGATCCCAATTGTGGCTGCAAATCAAGAACTATCTGTTACATGGTTTCTCTAGTCCTTTAGTCTTTATTTTGAAGCTATTTCAGTTTGACATATAATGTAAAACTTTTTAATAATAATGGTTAATTGCAAGCTAATGTTCCCAAACTAGCATTTATCAGAGTTGAGTTATACCTGACTAAAGTTTTCCAACATGCAGGGTTTCACAAAGCTTATGCTGGCATAATTTAATTATGACAGGTCTTGAGATAAGCAATTCCAATGGATATTTCATAATTAAATAAGCCACAATTTAGTAGATTTGTAAAACAGACTGTGCCATAAACAATAGTTTCAAACAACAAAGGCTTGTTTTGTGTAACAAATACTAAGCCAACAAAGAATAAGCCATGTTTATAAATCAGTGCAATAGATGAATCACTTTTATGCTCTTTTTAAGCTGCAGAAGAGTTTGGCAGAAAAAAAAGTTTGTTAATCAAATTTAACATAACCTGTTAATTTGGGGGTACTGCTTTCTTCCATCAGAAAGAAACCAGAGCATAAATGTCTTCAGTTAGTTAATGCCTTTTTTCTCGTTAAAAGAATTTTATGATCTCAGGTGAACTTAGGTAATCATATTATAGATATCTTACTAATTATGCTCTATTGTAGAAGAATCAGCAGGTGCATTTGTTGCTAAGCCAATCTTGGAACTGAGTGTGAGACAGAGCTAGACACTAAAAAAAAAGTTAGCTAAACCATTAATTTTGATTGTCATGTACAGCTACCATATTTGCTGCAAAGTTCTGAAAAACCACAAGATGATAACAAGGAGATTCAGAATTCAACCAGATTTTTGCAGCCTAGTGTCAATAACCCTAGCGTGAACTCAACCTGTACTGGGGATCTAATAATACAGAACTAACTTTCATAATCTTTATAAGAAGCATAGACATATAACTAGAGCAATAGTAGAATTAGAAAGCATTGCATAGATATGGGGCAACTAGAATAGCAGAATTGGAAAGGGTCTTGGAGGTCTTCTAGTCCAACCCCTGCTTAGGCAGTAAACCCTACACCACTTCAGACAAATGGTTATCCAGTCTGTTAAAAACTTCCAATGTTAGAACATTTACAACTTCTGGAGGCAAGTTGTTCCACCGATTAATTGTTCTAATTGAATTGTTCTAACTGACAGTAAACAAAAGCTTCCAATTTTGCCTCTTCTCCCTGCCCTCCAGCTGATTCTGCTAGCATTGATATCCTTTCTGCAAAGTCAAATGTTTTTTGTTTTTATTCAACAGGTAAAAAGTATTCACCCAGAATGCAGAATGCAACAGGAAATCTATCAAGAAGAAAAAAAGTGTATGGAACTTTTAAAGAATGCCAATACAGTGAGTTTAACAGGTGAGATCATGGCTTATAATGGCATAGCAGTCACTCATTGATAGTCCATTGGTACTTCTATACCTGAGGACATGAGGATGTGGCATAAAATGGCACATTGTTCTGAATTATAGTACGATTTGAGTTTTGGTTAGTGTCGTGCAGAACAACCCATAATACAAAAAAAGTAGTTTCCTCTTTTGGAGGTTCTTGGAAACTCTTCCGGTGTTGATTGCTGAAAACTGGTAACATGTTTTTCCTGCTGTTTTGAAATATATGAAATTTGAAAGACCTTAAGTTAGCCTTTACAATTTTAAAAAAAGTAAAAGAATACCCACAAATTCATTCTATAGTTAAGCGCACCCACATATATAATATGGTTCCATCCACATTATAGATTGCACTCACCAAAAAATAGTCCACCCCTCACCTCTGAGTGAGTTAGTTCTATCTCAACTGGAACACTCAGCATGGTGTAGACTCTTCCTTTCTTGTGTACAAACCAACAAATGGGAACCCAAGAGTTTCATAAACTTTCTTTCCTGCCATCTTCTGGTCATCTCAACATTTGCAGCCCTATATCCTGATGCTAAGAAGCAGCTCACATCAATGATATAAATAGTCTACCCACTCCTCTTAAAATTCCAGAGTTTTGAGATGTAAATCAGACCAAGATAAATCACTTCCGAATTTTTCCACCTTTAATATAATCTGTAAACTGTACAATTTAGTTGAAAAACAAATTGAAATCTTCTGGGGAAAAATAAAACTAAAAAACTTAAAGTAGCATGGTTGCGTAAGCGGGCATAAACCAGGGGTGTCAAACACAAGGCCTTCAGGCCGTATAGGGTTGGATCCAGCCTGCGGGGCCGTCCCAGAAAATATAGGGGGCAGCCTGCGTTGCTTCGGCCTGGGCTACCCAGTGCGAAGAGGAAACATCAGGCCAGCATGGCTTTGGCCCAGTCTACCCAGTGTGAACAGGAAACATGCCAACAGTTTGGGAAGTGGTGTCAGGCTGGCCATGCCCACCCAGGCCCCCAAGATCAACCACAGTCCTGATGCGGCCCTCAATGAAATTGAGTTTGACACCCCTACCTTAAACTAATACTTATTGAAGCACCATTTGATTTTATGATAGAATTCAGTCTTCTGCAATAGGAGACTACCAGCATAATACGTCTTGCCTGGGGTATTTTTGCCGACTCTTTCTTGCAAAACCATTCCAAATCTGTCAGATTGCAAGGGCATCTCCTATGCATAGTTCTCTTCAAGTCACCCAACAGATGTTAAATTGATTTCAGGTCTCGAGTATGGCTGGGCCATTCCAAAATTTTGATCTTCTTCTGCTCCATTGTTTTGCTGATTGGGGGTATGCTCTGGATCATCATCAAGTTGAAGGGTGACAATCTTCTTCATCTTCAACATTTTAGCAGACCCCTTTGTGCCAAAATTGACTAATATTTGGAATTATTCATAATTCTCTCCACCTTGACTAAAGCCCCAGTACCAGTTGAAGAAAAACAGCCCCAAAGCATAATGTTGTCACCACCATGCTTCATTGTGGGTAAGGACTAATTCTTACGTAATTCGTGGTATGTACTGTACAAGTAATGTTCTTTTTGAACCAAACATATTTTTGGGAGTTATAGCAGTTAGCAATAGCAGTTAGACTTATAGCAATAGCAATAGCAGTTAGACTTATATATCGCTTCATAGGGCTTTCAGCCCTCTCTAAGCGGTTTACAGAGTCAGCATATTGCCCCCACAGTCTGGGTCCTCATTTCACCCACCTCGGAAGGATGGAAGGCTGAGTCAACCTTGAGCCGGTGAGATTAGAACCACTGAACTGCAGATAACAGTCAGCTGAAGTGGCCTGCAGTACTGCACCCTAACCACTGCGCCACCTCGGCTCTTATGTCCAAAACCTTCAAGCTTGGTCTCATCTAATCATAAGAAATTTTCCCACATGGTTTTGTCAGACTTGATGTAGGTTTTTATAAATGTGACCAGACTTAAATATATAAACAGTGTGTGTTTGATATTCCCCCGCACCCACTGACAGACTACAAGAGGTTTCCACCAAGGTCCTCTGTTCTGACGGGAACAGAGATTGAATCTCATTGGTCAAGAGCAATAACAATAGCAATAGCAGTTAGACTTATATACCGCTTCATAGGGCTTTGAGCCCTCTCTAAGCGGTTTACAGAGTCAGCATATCACCCCCAACAATCTGGGTCCTCATTTTACCCACCTTGGAAGGATGGAAGGCTGAGTCAACCCTGAGCCGGTGAGATTTGAACAGCCGAACTGCAGCTAACAGTCAGTTGACGTAGCCTGAGTGCTGCACTTTAACCACTGCGTCACCTCTGCTCTTTAAAAGTGGATGCTGCCCGGCCATTCTCCAGTCGGATGTTTACTTGACTTGCAATAAAGAGCTGTTGTTTACTGAAGCCTTTTGTGCCTCCTTTACCCGATCTAACACTGGCGACGAAGGTGGGATCGGAGGCAACTAGGCAAACAAAGAGAACGAAGCCTTGCAAGTACATCCAGCCTGGAGCATCCCATGAGGCATTGAGCTAGCCATCGCTGAACACCCAGAGAGAACCAGAATGGTCATGCACGCCCCACCAACTCTGTACAAGCTATAGAACACTAAGAATCGTACATGCTACGATTCAAGTGTTTCTTGGAAGTGGACGATCTGACAGACATTCCAGAAGCCCTTGAAAAAGAACTTGTTCCTAGGATACTGCGGTCGGGAAGTATTCGAGATGGCAAAAAACCTCTCGAACTGACCCCTCTACAAGAAGTATCCTGGTCTGCACTACAACTAGCTCTGAAGACCCACTACGTGCCAAAGCCATCCAGATACGTTCGCCGGTACCAGTTCAACATCCGGAACCAAAAGGAGGGCAAATCGATCAACAAATACGTGGCAGCGCTCTGAAAAGCTGCAGCCCACTGTGAGTTCTGTGAACTGGACAACCTGATTCTAGATCGCATAATTTTGGAGGTGTGAGATCTCAATCTACAGAGAAGACTTCTGGCCAGATCCAACCTCTCTCTGCAGATCGCACTAGATGAAGCTAGAGCATCTGAATCAGTAACCCAATCAGTGGAGACCATCCAGCGCTAGAGCATACCTCCAGATGCATGGGAAAGTACCCGCATCCACCACGAGACCACAGAGCCTGAGACTTCTGAGAGCGAGGTGGAAGACAGCTACCGCATGCGCAGTAGCCGAACCAAACTGGCACGGAAATTCAACTCACAAATTCTGCCCTGCACCAGCTGTGAAGGAGACCATGTCCGATCATCCTGTCGGTTCCATGAAGCCATTTGCCAGCGATGCAAGCGAAAAGGGCATATTGCCAAGATGTGCTGCAGCGATTATCCTGCAACCGCAGGACAACCCAACGGGGCCAAAACGGCAAACAGCGACCCAAATCAGGGACTTGGCAGAAGTATCCACAGGGTTCAGAGGGAGACGATAGAATCGCCAAACTCACTTCTGCCATACGAAGCTGCCCTGGGCGCACAAAGAAGCTGAATGTCACTGTTCCGGTTAAGCATATCCGTACCATTTACCCCAAAAAGCTGAAAGTCACTGTCCTCATCGAGGACTCTCCATGCGAAATGGAGATTGACACCGGGTTGTCACTGACCATAATTCCATGGTCAGTCCTGAAGCAAACGATTCCCAAGATACAAAAGAGACACCTCAGAAGTCCCAACGTCTGCCTACGCGACTACCAGGGGAACCAGGTCCCCATTGTGGGCCAAGGCACCTTCCAGGTAAGCCACAAGAAATTCTGCAAAAAACTCCCCATGACGGTGGTCAGAGACAACCTTCAGAGCCTACTGGGGCTTGATTGGTTCCAAGCTCTGGGAATGGAAGTGACCGGAGTCAACTCCGTGGAGGACAACGATGCTGAAGCCACCTCTGAAGTCACAGCTGAAGCTATTTTTAAGGAATTCAAGGACGTCTTCGGCACCAGTCTGAGTGAGTACAAAGGAACCCCTGTTTCCTTTAGCTTAGACCCCACAATAGCCCCAATTAGGCTTAAGCCCAGGAGAGTACCTTTCGCTCTCTGGCCAAAAATTGACAAAGAAATCGATAAGCTTGTGAGCCAGGGCATTTTAGAACCAGTCAATCATGCACGGTGGGAGACGCCAATTGTGACACCTGTCAAACCTGACGGATCTGTAGGCATCTGCGCAGACTATAAATGCACAATTAATAAAGCACTACAACAAAGCGCTTACCCTGTACCTGTTGTACAATACCTATTGCATTCCGTCGGCCTGGGAAAAAACTTTGCAAAATTATATATGGCACAGGCATACCAACAATTGCCAGTAGATGGCGCGACCATGGAGGCCCAAACTATTGTGAAGCACAGGTGCATTCAAATGCAACCACCTGCAATTCGGTGTTAGTATCACCCCTGGACTGTTCCAAAGTGTAATTCCAGGAGTTGTCCCCTATTTTGACGACATTTTAGTATCGGCCGCAAATGAAGCGCAACTTTTAAAATGCGTATGAACAGTTTTGGCTAGAATCAGAGACAAGGCCCTCCAACTTAAAAAAGAAAAATGTAAAATAAATGTACCAAAAGTCGAATTCCTAGGGTACATGATTGATGGGTCTGGAATTCACCTGACCTCACAAAAAGTTAAAGCCATTAAGGAAGCCCCACACCTCGCAATCAGACCGAACTACAGGCGTTCCTCGGGCTCTTTAACTTCTACAGCATCTTTCTCAAACAGAAAGCGACAGTTGCTGAACCACTACATCACCTCCTAGCCAAGAACGTGAAGTGGTCCTGGGGCAAAACTGAGGCCACTGCATTTGCCACCGTAAAAAGACTCTTATCAGCAGACTCGTTCCTAGTACAATATAGCCAGACCCTGCCTTTGGTGTTGACCTGTGATGCTTCCCCTTTCAGTGTCGGTGCAGTCCTTAGCCACCACATGCAAAATGGTGCCGAAGCCCCCACTGCATTATACTCCAGGACATT